GCTTATTCGCTCCCTCATACATAGACGGGAGACACCAGCAGCAGCAGCAGCAGCACATTGTTGTGCTCTTGTTGTTGTTGTTGTGATTTTTTTTATACTCTGGACGGTTCATATGAAATATTTTGGATAGTTTTTTGGCAGTTGCTTAATGCGCTTTTTTAACGCTAGTCAGGTCAGCAGTTAAGAAAAGAATTCGCAATTGCGCGATACACTTTCTAGCAGTTAGACGTTCGGTACTACGTTGGTCGTTCGGTCGGTCGGTCGCACAACGTTTTTTAAAATATAAGAAAAACATTTTTATAAACGCGTTCTGCTACTAGTAAAACTTAATTTATATAAAAAAAGAAATAATTATTATTAATTAAAAAAAAAATAGTTATTAATTATAAAAACAAAAAATAATTATTATTAATTAAAAAAAAATAACTATTGTTATATTAAAAAGAATTATTAAAAAGAAATAATTATTATTAACTATAAAAAATCAACTCACAGAAAAAAAAATTAAATCTAATTACTTTCAAAGGAAATCAGTTAAATATTTTTTAAAGATGAAAAAAAAATGCATTGCTCTAAGGGCTGGCTGTCTTTAGTATAATAGTTTCAAACAAACAATATCTTAAACTATTAAGTTTTATAAAAAAATATAATATATGCATTTGTGCTGAATTGTTTAAAAATATAAAAAAATGTTTTTTCATTTTACAAATGTGCGAAAATTAAAAATTACTATTAATTGGAAATATTTTATTTTATTTTTACAACATTTTAATAAAATATATCCTAAATTAGGTAAGTTCAAAAAAAAAACACTAAAATAAAATATGTACTAATAACAGTCATTTTAAAAATTAAAGCCAAAAAATTTCAATAGTGAAATTAATTAAAATTAGAAAGAAAAATTTTTCTTATATCAAAAAACAAAAAAAAAAAAATAACTAGAAAGCACTAGTAACTACTAAACAATATGTGGCAACTGCACTTGAAAATTTTTGACAGAATAGTTTATTTTTAACAAAGCTTATCGATAGTCAATAAAATTTTCTATACTATATATATATACACTAAATAAAAAAATAAACAAAAATAAATTAGCAAAAAAAGAAAAAAAAATTTAAGCAAAAAATATACACAAGATATGAATTTTGAACTAACAAAATTGATTATTTTTGCAAAAATAAATATAAAAATAATAAAAAAAAATTATGCAGGAAAACTATAACAAAAAATCTGCGCTCTTCAAAGTGCTCAACATGCAGTAGTGCACGCATCTAACATTTTTATGATTTTTCGTATCTATGAAATACTTTTTACTTTTGCGCCAATCGATTCACTGTTGAGCAGGCAACAAGTGAGAGTGAAAGTCTATACCAGTAATGCTCGGAACGCCGCTTTTGCTCACCAATCAGCAATTGATAGAACAAATTTGTATTTGTTGAATATTTTGTTTACTGTATTAAACATGTTTTATTTCAAATTACGTGTGTTTCATGGGTTTTTTTTGCTTTTTCTCAAAGATAGTTTTTGTTTTACTCATTTTTCTATTCTAATAAAATTTATTAACGTCACAATATATTTCATTTAGGTTTATTTAGTTGAGTGCACTACAAAAAAAAAACTACTAATTTATAAGCAAACTTACGCATATCACTTAGAAATTTTGTGGTAACTATATGTGTATATATATTTATAGTTATATATATATTTTGTTTTTTTTTATTGCTTTTTTTTGTTGTTTACTGATTATTCATAATAAACTACAGGAATTTTTTATTACTAATTTTTGCTTTATCTTTCTAATTTAGTTGAACAAATAGTGTTAACTAAGAGTTGGATTTTTATTTTTAATAATTCTTTATAATGACAATTAAGTCACAACTATTTTTTCTACAAAGAGTTTGGTTAGGTTCTTTTTGCGGAAAGAATTTTTTCCCTTTAATTAATTATGAGTACGAAGAAATTAACAAAAATTTATAACATAATATATTTTCCTCATTAAAAATTTCTAATAAATGTAACAAATTGTTGTTTACCACTTCAACGAAAAAGTAGTCGAGTTCTGTGAAATTTAATATAAAAATATTAAATATATTTTATAAAATCTAAAATATTTATAAAGAAACATTTCCATGAAATAAAATAGGAAGTTATACTGAGGAAATGCAACTGTTTCGCATACCGTGAAATATTTAACATCAGTGGACTTGGGGAACAATATCTTGTCTTAATTATCTATATAAAATTTTGAGCACAACAACTGTTAAAAATCAAAACCCTGCCAAATTTGAAACAGGGACTCATGTGTTAACACATAAACCTAACCTAAGACTTTAATTTGATTTGATTTGTGACCTGATAACAGCGGGACATGAGCAAGTGAGATAGGACTTAGCACATGTCAACTTACTTTAATATCATATTAAAAAGATATATAATAATGTTTCTTGGGCCATATAAATAATGTTTGATTAAGCCATATAAAGGCACCAGACTTATATCCTGGTAAACACAGATAAGACCAACGGATATTTCACTCTGAACTGCACACACTCAGTAGACATAAGTATATTTTAAATTATTATTAAAAATGAGATGGTTGGATATATGTTAATAATACATCTTTGTTTAAGATCCTGAACCAATATAAACAAAGATGTTATTGACAGCAGTATTAAAGTTTAGAATTTTTATAATCGGTAACATTTTTTGCAAAAAGTTAGGTCATGCTGTTAGGTAAAGATGCAGTCTGATAAGTGAATCTCATACAACAAAGTTCAGTTTATATGATGTCAAACAGAACACCCTCCTTTAAACACCCAATACTATTACTAAATATACCCTATACAACAAGGTTTATATTCTATGATGGCAAGTAGAGCACCCATTATCGAATACTATTACTAAATATATCTTATTATTAATCATCATTATTTGGAGGCTATTTAGCTGAAATTTGGTGATTTGGTATATGACAAACTTATACATATAATATATTTTTATATCAAATTAATAAGTACAGTCTAAAAACCCATAATATATAATTCTCATGTTATTCATAGCGAACAATATGTAGAAAATTACCCAAAATTATTATTTTATTATCACAAATACTTTTTTTCTTTGTTTTTGTAAAATCTTATAAAAATCTTTATTATTTACTACTTAAGCAAATTCCAAATTAAACAAATCTTTAAAAACAGCAAAAAGTATTATTAGAATTATTTTTTTTTGATGTTTACTTTAACCAAAATATACAACTCCATGATGTATTAACTATAACTATATCTATTTGTTTTTCTTATTGTAAATGAGACAATAAAATCATTCATAAATTTTTTGCTCGGCACATGATATTAGTATTTGGCAAAGAAAACAAAGTCAAGTCGTCATAAAATTTCAAATTAAAGCCGTCATCATCATCTAACTTGTGGTAACATATGTCACAAACAGTAAACCCAAAATAAAGACGTCATAGAAACTAGAACTCTGTCTTGACTAAAATTAGAAACTACATATTGTATATAAAGTTAATATATGCCTTTTATTTACTTAAATGTTTTATGGCAGCTGCGGCTGCTATTTAAATTTAGATTGTCTATACATTATTTGCTAAGCAAAATATTGAGTGGATCAATCGTCTAATTTGAATTTAAACTTGAACTTTTAAGCCCAAAGCAACAGTGTTTGGGAATGCATAGATTGAAAAAGTTTTAGACTCTAAGGAGTTAAGAACGCTCAGCCGTTAAAACTGAAATAGCACAAACAAAAAAAATATCTAAATTAATCTGAAATGAAAGCGAATAAAATAATTAAAATAAAATTTAATTAAATACAAATTATGAAAAATAATAGAAAACAAAAACAAACTTTTATAGAGTAATGAGGATGGTTTGTGTAATTAATAAATAATTTATATGAAAATAAATTTAAGTGAGTTTAATGTGGAAGGAATATATTATATCTGGAATTTATGAACATAATAAAAATAAATAAAAAATGTATTTTCTATTGTTCTGTATAATAAATAATTATAGCAAAACTTAACAATAAAATAAAAAAAAATTCGTTATTAGCATATATTATAATATAAAAAACAAAAAGTAAAGAAATAAAATAAAAATAAAGAAAATAAAATTTTACTTATATTGTGATGTATTACAAATAAATTAATTAAGAGAAAAAATTAAATATTAATATATTATAATATAAGAAACATAAAACAATAAAATAAAAAAAAATAAAATATTATTTTATATTGTAGTGCATAATGAATAGATTAATCAAGATTATAATAATATATATAAAACAGAAAACATAAAATAAAATAAAAATTAAGAAAAATAAAAAATTTACTTATATTGTGATGTATTATAAATAAATAAATTTAAATAAAAAAAATTAAAATAAGGAAAAAATTAATTATTAATATATATTATATTGTATAAAAAAAAATAAAATGAAATGAAAATAATAAAAAATCTCCATTTTGTTATAGTACATAGTAAATAAAATTATTACAATATAAAAATTAAAATAAAAAAAAAAAGTTTATTATTAGTATATAGGTATTATAAAATAAAAAACAGAAATAATAAAACAAAATAAATATAATATGTTATTGGCGCTTTATTGTGATATTTAATAAAAATATCAATTAGAAGACAAAAATAAGCATAACAAAAAGAAAATTTATCAGTGTATTTTATATTATATTATATTATATTATATTATATACAATGTTATATAAAATAAAGTGAAAATATATTAAAAAAGACTTTTGTTAAAAAATTTTTATTAAATTTTAAATTTCCTGATTCTGACCCTATCTTAATTATAAAATAAAAAATATTCTCACTAATATTATGCTAAATATTTATTAAACAATTTTTTATATACATTAACTAATAATTAACTTATTTCTTCTTCTCTCTTTACAGTTTACAATAATTTATGAATAAAGTCATTTCAATTTAAAATAAATATATATCATTATAAAAATATATAAAATAAAATTTTATTATAAACGCTATACACTTTAAAAATAACAAAAAAATAAATAAAACAGAAAATTAAAGGGGAAGTTTAAAGAGTGAAGACACAAAAAGAAAAGAAAAGAGTTGCGAAGAAGCAGAGGAGCGCACGTCTGAGGAATAAAATTAAAAATATAAAAATTCATTTAATATAAGTAAAAAAAGCAGACAACATGGATGAAACACAACATTTCTGTCTGCGCTGGAACAACTACCAAAGTAGCATAACATCCGCATTTGAGAATTTACGTGATGATGAGGATTTTGTCGATGTAACCTTAGCATGCGAGGGACGCAGCATTAAAGCACACAGAGTCGTATTATCAGCATGTAGTCCATATTTTCGGGATTTGCTTAAGGTAAGTGAAAAGTAGAAATGTGTGCTCTGCACACTTTCCCTCAAAAAATATAAATGAAACATATTTATTTACATATAAATATATTTGCATATTTTTAAAAATAAATGCTTTTTGTCTTCTTTTAATGTGAGACTAACCAAATCTGCATGAATTATACAACGAAATAAACTGTTACCACACCAAATAAATATTGTTAAATTTTTTGTTATAACTGCTGTATTTAATTTTATTTTAAATGAAATTTTTTTTAAACTAACTCAAGCGAAAGTAACTCAAAAATATTGCCAATACATATTTCTTGGGCATTTGCACACAAAAGTGCAACAGTTTAGCACATGTGTGCTTCTCTTTATGCACTCGTAAAATAAATTCAGCATTATTTGGCATCTTTTAAAATGAAATTTTAAAATTATACTTAAAGTTGCAAGAAACTTGTTCACCCTGAATAAAATATATCAAAAAAAAAGTAAATATATAGTAAAAAATTACAAATTTTAAGATAAAAATGTTGCATGTTGCAATGCCAAGACTTGTTAGCAAACAACTACTTTTCCGCACACACATAAATTTGCTAAATGTGACCTACTTACTTCTTGGAATAAAGCACAGAAGGGCCTCTATAATGCTAATAAATGAGAAAGAAAATTGACTTATTAGACTTCATATTTTATTTAAGTTTATAGAGTTTTTTTTTTTTTGATCTGGTATCGCGATGGACTTTAATAGTCTACACGTGGTCTTTTTGGCCTGCCAACATAAGCTTGTAGAATTTTTATTAATTTTTCAAGTGACTTGTTTAAAAAAACTTAACCAAAACAAAAATATAACATATAAAATAACAATTTTTAAAAATTTTCAAATTAATAAATTAAAATAGTAAAACCAGCCATTTAAATTTTTCATCATTAACTGATGGTTCCAATACTTAAATATGTAAATATAATGAATCAAAAAAGTTACATTTTTTAATTCTTTTATTTAAAAAATTAAATTAGTAGAACCAGTCATTTAACTTTTATCACTAATGGTTCCAGCACCACGATAAAGATATAAGAATATAATATATTACAATGGGCGTTAGAAAATCTCCAAACTTAACAATAATTTATAAAAATACTAATTTTACAGGGTCTTAGGTTGATTTAGATCTCCTGGACATCTAGGTTTTTAGCAATAATGAGTTTAAATTTAAAAATTCATAGAATTTGGAAATTTGAAATTAGTTTAATTGATTAAAAATTATTGATTGAACTAAATAATAAAAATCAAATGTTCTAATTTAATAATATATAGAAATAACTTTTTATTTTCTATATATTTTATATAACTTTTCATATAAATTTTATTAAAATTTTAAAAAAAAATTTTTAATATATTTTTAATAAAGGGGTCTAGAATTAAATTAAATTAAATAATAATAATAATTTTAGGAAACCGAATTTTGTGTTTTGAGTAAACTACATACTAATGCGTAGATAAAAGTTTTTACCTCAGAAATCCATACCAAACTTCACTTTGCTCACTCTCAAGACAGACTTTTAAAAGTCACCTGCACTTTTTTTTTAAAGGAAAGATTAAATTTCGGGAAAATATGTCTAAGATAAATAGATTTATTTTTCGTTTTTATTTGTAGCCACTCTACTGAAAACAAGAAATTTGTTTTAATATTTCTGACTAAACCTTTAAAACATCAATTTTTAAACTTTTCTTCGTTATTTTGAAAGACTCAGATATCTGCAATTTTAGATCAATAGCCCCAAATTAACCTAAACTAATTAGAGAATTTAGAATTAAGTTATATATCATACATCTAATACAGGTTAGAGTGCCCTAAGCATATAATTTTGTCTTACTAAAAATTTCTACTTCTCAAAAACTTTACTATCTGCAAATTTAACTTACTAACCTTTAATTAAAATTAATATGAAAGAAATAATAAAAAAAATTAAATTTTATTTTATGTATAGTTTTTTTTTTTTGTTTTTTTAAATAAAATTCTTCATTGCATAACTGAAGAAATAAAGCGAATCGACTTCATTATTTGTCTTGATTATGAAAATGTTACGCCCAAAAACTGTGCATTTTGAAGTTAGCAAAGTACAAGCACAACAGGAAATTTGCTAACGATTATTGCTTTTAGCCAAGTTAAAAGTTTTTCCTTTAAAATTAACATTTTTTTTCAATTCAAGTCATAATTTAGTTGTTCTTGACTGTTTCACAGAACCGCAATTGCGTGTAAGTCTTCCCAAATGTACATTTACTTTGCCATTTTGTTGCTGCTAATAACACAGCTCAGCTTAGCACACTGTAATATAGTATAGTATAGTACAGTACAAAACAAAATGCAGTTTATTCTATGCATTGTTTAATGTCATAATAATATGCAAAAATAATAATGCATTAGGCGGCACTGCTAAGGCACATCCGCAAACTTCCAAAAACTTTGACGTTTGCACATAAAATTTACTCATAACAAAGAATAACAAAAATGTTTCAAAAATTAAAAAAAAAAATACTTTAAAAAAAAAAAAATAAATAAAAGAAAATAAACAAATTGTTAAAAGAAACGCAACTAGAAATTATGATAGTTGTGAGTTTAGCATTTGCAGTTGAAAAGTACCTTGTACTTACCTAAGTTATTGTAACAAAATCTTTTTTTTTGTACAAAAAATAACATTTACAACAAAAACAAAATAGGAAAGAAAAATTTGCATTTACTTAGTACTACTTCATTCGTATAATATGTATCTTAACGGTAAAAGTAATGCAATCCATTAACGGCAAACTCAAAAATTGGTAACAACAACACCACTCGCTCGCTCTTCTATCTGTAACTTACTATAGTTATATATATACTATGTTCGTCCCCACACTAATGCCAACAAACCAACTCAGTACTCAGAACTCATCAACTAACCAACCAAACAACCAAGAAAGTAACCAACGGAACAAAAGTGCCAAACCAACAGGCAAGGGTAAAACTAAATAAATTAAAATATAAACAAAAACATTGATGCATCTATAAATTTCCAAAATGAAACTCACTTTTTTGGCTTGAGAGGGGAAAAGAAATTTATGAAATACCAAAAAAAAAAACAACAAAAAAAATTAAAAATATTTTAAAGTTAGTTTTCTGCAGTACGCAAAAGTTTATTATTTCATTTACGTCGCCGCTGCACGTAAATTTCAAATTTAAAATAGATTCATTTTATTAATTAGGTTGCCATTTAAGTTTTGTATCTATGCGATACTTTTTAGTTGCTTTACTTGCTTTACTTACTCGCATTTTGCATTTTGCATTTGTGCACTTGCATTTGCACCGCAAAAACAAAAAAAAAATATTTATATTTTACATTCAAAATGACTGAAGTAAGCAAAATTGCTAGGCTTGAAAACCATAAAAATTTTTACAAAACTGCAATTTTTATATATAAAAAAGCACACCTTCAGCTTTTCTCAGTTGTTTCACTGCCTCTGCTGCTGCTCCACACTCTGCTCCACTCTACTCTACTCTGCTCTATACTCTGCTTTCTTCTTCTCTAATTTAGTACAAACGAGGTAATATGACATGCCATACTGCATTTTGTGTAGTTACTGTTGCCATAAATTATTTATAATAATAACTTTAAACATTTCTTGAACTCTACAGCAATGTTGATGAGGAAAAAAGAAAAGATTAAAATAGTATGAAAAGTATTTTAGAAATTTTTACAACCAAAAAGTTAGAGGCTAAGTTAAAAATTACTTCACGAAATGTTAACATTCCGCTTCTGTTTTAATGTAGTTGATACATTAGTTTTTTTTTTGTTTTATTTTTTTTTTATTATTATTGTAAATTATTTTTTGGAGTTAAAGTAACAATAAATAATGAGGACAACTAAATTATAATGTTTTTATTAACTGTTGTTAAATAAATTAAATATTTTTTTAATAATAATTTTGTTTTTTAAACAAGGTAATTGGTCATCTTCAGGGTATTATATAGTAGAATATAGTCGAAATATTGGTTAAAATAAAATCATTTGAAAAAAAAAATTTTAAAAAGTTTATTATTTAAACATTGAACAATTACCCCGTTTAAAAAAGAAAATTATTATAAAAAAATATTTGGCCATTAAAAATTAAATTACTAAATATATTTTATTTAAATTTGTAATAAAAAATAATATTTATGTTCAATAAATATTTATAATTTTTATTTATGTATATATAAATAAAAACCTGTTTTCGAAAGCCTTTTTATAAATATTTAATAAATAATCTTTTAAGATACACATTTAATTTCTTATATTAAATATATTTAAAAATTAATTTTTTTTTATTTAATATAATACATTATACCTATTTATATACCTAAAAACTTTTACCATATTGGCAATTTGTGTCTTTTGCCGGATAAATAATTTAACCTTAATTTAATTTAAACTTAGTTATTTAACACTCATAGGGCCCATTTTGTTACCACACCTCAGCCAAGAATTTCTAAGTCTTGAAGTTTTAAAGATTAAGTTTTTGTTGCCTTTGTATTAATTGCATGCCTTTGCCATTACTCGTTAGATCCATATAGCTTACTTATCCAGGTATTGAGATTTGCAGTTAAATAAATACTTAATAAATAAATTTTTGTATTGATATCTAATATTTAATAATTTTTGTTTATTATGTGTTTCAAATTATATTTGGTATGGAAGCTTTATACCAGCGCATATAGTACACAAGAGAGAACTTCTTGCAATTTTGCTTGTTTTTTTTTTGTACATAGGTTTTGCATATTTTAATTTATAAAAATTTATTGTTCGATAAAAAAAACTCTATATAAAATTTTCTTTAAATTTTTAATACATTATTATTATAATTTTATTATATATTACTATTAATTCATGTAATTATACTTTTGTTGCCTTTTGTTAATAAGAAAGGCACATCTTGTTAGCCAAACGAAATAATTGCAGTCTTTATGACAGAAGTTAAAAAAAATTTTGCATGCAATTTGAATTACT